CCCCCCCTCCCCGATCCCCTTCTTTCTCCCCTTTGCAAAACTTCATATAGGTCCATTCGTCACTTCCAAAAGGATCAAAGGAGTCAAAAAGTTCTCAAGAGTCGAAACAGATACGCCCTGTAAAAGGCATTCTTCGGGCGGGTCATCCACAGACTAAGTCTTTATTACAAGTGTGACATGCTTCCAAAAGGGTCGAGAGAAAGGCCCGAACCAAGCTGACCTTCCAAGTGAAGTTTAATTTTTTCAGGAGGATCGAGACCCCCGCCTCACAGGCAGTGTCTCAAAAAAGGTGCAAACTCTCTCTGGACTCTGGAGTTATCAGTGTTATCAATGACATTCAACTCCGCTGCCTATCCGACATGTTATTCGGGAGGAGCTGACAAACAAACAAAAGAACAAAAAAACAAAAACAAAACGGTCGGACGACGTCCATTCATTCCTACATCCACATTCTATGCCCCAACTGCCCTACGGCCAGTATACGCCGCTGCGATTTGGACCTTACCACTTATAGTTTCAATGGCAGGCATTACTTTATGTTGGACATGTCATCAGACTCATCAGACATATCACTTTCTGTTCTTATGTTGAACTTATGTTGAACAGCAGCAGCACGCTCGGAACAACCCGCCGGGCAAACCACACATCATGTTCTGTTCTTTTCCTGACCTCGTCGCCCTTGGTTAGAACGGAACGTTCTTTTAATCAACTGCATAGGTGTGTTAAGTACTTGCCCGATGATCCTTTGAAAGGAAGTCGAGTGTTAATCACCCTCTCTCCTCTCGTCTGCCGCATGAACTACACAGAGCTTTGCAGACATCCGATGATCCTTTGAAAGGAAGTCGAGCGTTAATCACCGTCTCTCCTCTCGTCCGCCGCATGAACTACACAGCGCTTTGTTGTCTGCAACCGGCGACCGCTGGCAGACCGGTGACAGGGGCTGGCACCCATGACGCCGCAATTTGGACAGAACACAGCTTGCAGCATTACTCAACAAAAGTCACAGAGAGAATGATGCCCACGAGGTGATCGAGATGTCCCTGAGAAGCGTCTTAGCGAATCTGTAGAGCACGCATCGGAGCGTCAGACAGCATCACACCGCATATGAGTGTGGCACCCTTAGACCTGCTGAAGGCCGTCTTGTCTGCCTTGCTGCGCAATGGAAGATGACGGAAAGATGCCCTCTCACTGGATTGACCGGAGGTGCAATATCTGCCTTGATATCTGCTATGGCACCACCCATGAGAAGCAATATCAATAAATCAGCTAGTATTGTCATGCTAGCATAAATCAGTTATGATGATGACGTGTTAGCCGGGGACTCGGAGTGACACGACGACATGTTAAAAATCTCTACTCCTCATCTACTTCCTTACTTCTGTAACTGCAAATGAACCTAGACACGGGTACGGAACACAATCGTCGGAGTTTACCTGAATTTCTTTAAACCATCTATGCCAATGACAAAAGTAACAGAGAACAATGCAGCGCACCTCACTCAACTCAGACTACCCCTTCTTTAGCATCCCTTAGCCTCAACTCAGACTACCCCTTCTTTAGCATCCCTTAGCCTCAAATCAGACGACGCCTTCTTTAGCATCCCTTAGCCTTAAATCAGACTACCCTTTCTCTAATCAGACGACCCTTTCTTTGGCATCCCTTATTAGCTTCAAATCAGACCAGTACCCCTTCTTTTGGATCCCTCAACCTCAAATCAGACTACCCCTCCTTTGGCATCCCTTATAGCCTCAAATCCGACTACCCTTTCTAAAATCAGACAACCCCCTTTGTTTGGCATCCTTAGACCCAAATCAGACTAAAAAACCCTTCTTTGGTATACCTTAGCCTCAAATCAGACTACCCCTGACTACCCCAGCGCAAGTGCAAGCCAGTCCCCTTCTATGTTGTAGAAAAAGAATTGAGGTTATTGAAGAAAAAGATACACCCATTCATCCACTACCGTGGGGAGATGGGGAAGACACCAGAGCATGTACAAGCCAATCCCCGGACGGATTCGGCCTTCACGTCGATCAGGTAGAGCATGCTGCTGAGCATCACAATGGTAGCCCCGAGCAGAAGCAGGTGAATCCAGAATCGAGGAGACAGGTGGAGGGTCAGCAGCAGTGTTCACACTCAAAGGGTCGTATCTATCTCTCTGCCTCCCTCACAGGACTCGGGAGGCAGAGGAGACAGGTGGAGGGTCAGCAGCAGTGTTCACACTCAAAGGGTCATATCTATCTCTCTGCCTCCCTCACAGGACTCGGGAGGCAGAGTCTGTTGCTGAGCAGTGCACGCGGCAGCATCATAGATCACAATGGCGACCTCGAGCAGAAGCTACCGTCGTCCCCCGAACACAACGCACCCTTATTTCAGCTGCACCCGACCGGAAAGATAAATTGTATACATTCGTTATCAAGGTGTGTTGTGTTCGGGGGAAGATGGTAGTGAATTAAGAATCAAGGATCGTAGGTGGAGGGACAACTACGATGTTCATACTCAAACACTTCCTGCCATCGTTCTGCCTCCCTGACACAACACGGCATGCTGGGCTGCGCTCACAAAAGGCATCATGTCAGCCCCAAGACGGATCACAGAACTTCTGAAATCTCCATGGCGTAACGTCTCTGGAAGACTCACTGCTTCGCCTCATGCCTACGGCGTTTCCTGTGCTGCTGCGGACTCCGTCTTCTCTTTCTTTGCAGTTGCGGATTTCTGAGAACCACATTGTCGATCGCATCCTCAAGCGCAACACTATCCTCTTTCTCTCTGTCTCCTCCCCCTCTCTCCCCCTTTTCATCAACCACTGCTTTTAGTAGCGTCTGTTCCCTTGTTTGGCCGACACCATCCACACCTGCACCCAGAGGATCTCTGTTCTTCAACGCTTGCTGTGCAATGGCTTCTTCGGCAGCTCTTTGCAACAACAGGTCTTTGTGGTAAATCTGAGGCGACAAGCGAAAGAACATGAAGACGACCCAACACGTGCGTGCATGAGTCAAAAAAATAAACAAAAGAGAACAAACAAATAATAAACACAAACATAATATTGTTGCCACCAGCACCGAAGGAGGACGAAAACCAGGGTGTTGTGACAGACCGTTCTGTCCAACTTTCACCAACTCAATGTACATTGTTTGTTTGATTGTTATGAATCAAGAGCCAGCTAATAAAATGAATGCCAGAAAAGGCAGAGAAGGAAAATGAAGGCAAGATCGGATGATGCCCACCAACTTCTTTTTCCTTCTTCGACTTCTCTTGCCACGTTTGCTTGGTTGAAGAGGTAGGACCCACACGGGGCGTGATCCCACACGGGTGAAACGGCATATGGGACACACAATGGCCTTATCTCAGTGGGTTGATCCCCGGTGTTGAATTCGCATGCGGGGTAAGAGCGCAGGTTCGAATCTTCAGACTCGCGCCCTGCTCGTTCGGCCGGCTGGCATCGACCGACACATGCCAGTGTGTACAAACGGGCATCACAAGAGGCCCGGCGCTCGAAACACGGCCACGTGCAGGGGTTTCAAGATACAGCTCTGAACTGTGGGATCCAGCCATTGTGGCTGCCACATTGGAGGCTGCCCCCCTGGGCGTTCCGGACGGCATTGCTCTGGGTTGCAGAGCATCACTTGCGCCCCCCTCTTGGGTTGTGCGCATCATGGGGGGATGGGGCGAGTGAAGGGGTGGGATCAGAGGGAATGGAGTTAGGGGAGGGGATGCAAGGGTTCGCCGTTCTCCTAGCAGGCTTGCGACAGTCCCCTTCGGTGGCAGGTGACAGGGTGCGTTGACGCCTCCCGGCACAGAGCTTTGGGGAGCCCGAGTTCGGGTACGGCGCATCCCGCTGCCGGCGACCGAGCGGCACTGAACCTGGTTGATAGCTCCCTGTGTGTGTGTGGTTGAGGCTGTGGGTTCTGTGTGCTTCTGTGTGCTTGAGTGCTCTCTGCGTGCGGGTCGGTTCGCTGCGCCGACAGGAGTCTGAACTCGGTGCGTCCAGCCTTCTGGCGTACATCCTCCCCTCGCACCGTCCCCGACACCCCTCATAACCTTTATAAGAAAGAAAAGAAATGGCATATGCGCCCACTATAACAGCACGCTTGTAACCTGGGGAGTGCAGTCCATATGATAAATGGAGAAGGGGTGACACAAGTGAGAAGGGCTGATTAGACAAAGGGGGCATACCAGGTAGGCACAATCAGGATGATAATGGATGATGAGACCATGGAAACACACCGAGCAGCCATGGTTGGGGTGACGTGGATGGTGACAGGGCAATCAGAAAAGACAATTATCGATGTAACAGCCAATGTGATGTCTGGGATTGGGCCATACCCACAAAACGGATAACAAGTTGGTTGCACCGGACGAAAGAATGAAGTACGTCACATGCAAGCATGCCACCACGGTATCATTCATGGCCACAGACCGACATCCTACATCTGGGTGAGCAGGGTGCATACAACATGTTGTGTTAGATCCCATGATGCGCGCAATGCACTTCGCGCGGACGCTCACACACACACACAGAAATAGTCTGGCACAGTCGTGCTTTTTCTGAGTCACAGACTGAGTGTATAGCGAATATGACAACACACACACACACACACACACACACACACACACACACACACACACACACACACACACACACGTACAAGTGCAGACAACCCCTCACTCACTTATCGTGAGTTGCCCTGAATCAAGCTTCGTCTCTTCTTCCAGGGTACCCTATCGTCCACAGCCTACTATGATAGACTACACCAAAGCATAACATACACTGCAGTAAAGGGGGCTACCGCTATCACATACCTGCACCACAATGTTCCGTCGTTCACAGTCCATAAACATGTTGACGTCCAGAGGTACTGACATTCTGTCACGCGTGTATCCAAAACTCAGCTGGTCTCTCGAGGTGAACCGATCCACTTCATTGAACCATAAGCAACCAAATAAATTTGTCAACGGCAAATGCTCCCGAATCAACACACATCCTTCTGGAACATCTGCACACATACCCAGTTGCAAACACAGTCGTGCAGAAACAAAAAACGGCCCATGTGAGGATACCATGACGCGAGGCCACAACAACCGAGACGGTACAGCGACTCTGCATCCTGTGAAGCTAGGGTAGGGGCTGGATATCTGGCCCAACTATTAAGATCTGAATGCTCCAGCGCGACCATTTAGAGACATGTTTGCGTCCCGGTCTGGAACATGATCTGGTATAGATGGACGGACACAGACTTACCTGGTCAAGACATAGACCGGGGTCTGTCTGGACGGTTGGGATGGACTGTCCAGAGCCTACAAGGCCAGCTGGATGTAGCAAGCTAAAACCCTTATGCGTGTGCGTAACTAAATTGTATGGAGGAATGGGAGAGTGGGGAGAGTGGGAAGAGTGAAACGGCATGGGGGGGGAATGGGGAAAAAGGGGGAGACGGGCTAGGGGGGGGAATGGGGAAAAAGGGGGAGACGGGCTAGGGGTTGGAGGTTATGGAGCAGGGCGTAGGAGTAGTTACTATTGGTGACGAGGGTCGGCAGTGGCCGCTGAGGGCAGCGTCTGGGTACCAACGGGAGCCTCCCGGTTGTCAGTGTCAGCCACTAAATGCCCCTCCCGGGGTGTCCTGTGTTCATCTCAACAACTTTATGATTTGTTCAGCTTGCCGGGGGAAAAAAGTAACCAGACCGGTTGCCCCCAGAATAGAAGCGGCTGTGTGTGTGTGTGTGTGTGTGTGTGTGTGTGTGTGTGTGTGTGTGTGTGTGTGTGTGTGTGTGTGCGTTATGAAAAACAAAACAAGAAATAGTAGATAGTTGTATCAATTTGACCCTAAACCAGGTGATCTACCCATGAGAAGGTTCGCAGTACCTAGCCATGAATCTGATTACGGACTAGCCCAATTGAAGGAATTGACATAGGCACACTTTTTACAAAGTGACCATTCCGCACGATGCACACAGTGTGAGGCAATGTGCGTGTTTGGCACATGCACTTCTTCGGACTGTAATGGGCAGCAATTGCTGCCCGACAATCAACTGCATCTCTTGCCTGTGTTCTTCCTACCGTTCACTTTCTTTTTCCCTTTTCACTTGTTCGCCATAATTTCAATTTTTAAATTTTTGTAAGTATTTGACAATGAACATAAAAGGACCACTCCCGCACAGCCCGCAGTTGATTGTCCGGCTTTCAGTCAAATTCTAAATACAGCTGTATTTGGTGTGAAGAAGGTAGGCCTTGATCTGGACAATCAGCGAAACTTCCACAAACTGTAATGGGCGGCAAGCCCACCAATCAACTGAATCTCTTGCCTGTGTTCTCCCTTCTTCTTCTTCTTCTTTTTTTTTTTTTTTTTTTTTTTTTTTTTTTTTTTTTTAAACAGACCCAGGTTTCCTAGGTGTGCTGGTATGAGCATGTACACTACTAGCAACGCCTGCGGTTGGCTCCAATCTATAGATCGGGAGCTCCACCTGCTGGAAATCGGGTCCAGCGTCCCTTACAATACAACACAAGATTGATCAAACATTGAAAGAGTATGTGAGAAACTGCGAGCATTGCTTGCCCTGGTCTGTCCCAGGGGATTGACTAAGCAGTACTAAAAGAGCCTCTTCACCCTTCTTGGTTTCTTATGATAGCCTAGCTCTTTTACCCCCCAGTGGCAGGGGGGTTTCGTTTTCTTTCCTTTTTTTTATTGGGGGTGGGGGGGGGAGAGAGCGTTGTTCTACTTAATTTGTAAGCATCTGAATACGAACAAAAAGGGACCACCAGCACAGGCCGCATCATCCCTTCCTGAGGCAGCAGTTTCGCTGGTTGCCCATATCAAAGTCTACCTTCTTCACCCGAAATACAGCTGTATTACACAGCCGTATTAAGACTGCGAGATACATACCCCTAATACAGCTTTAGTGACCGTACCGTATATTTTTATATTCGGGTGAAGAAGGTAGCACATCTCTCACAACAAGCGGAAATTATCAGACTCCCCTTCCATCAGACTCCTTTCCAAGCTCCAAATCACTGGCAGCTCCTCGAAATTCTGGGAAGTTCCAGAAATGCCCTTCTTCTACACAGTACCCGCTGTACTTTTTCACAAATGATGACACACTGATTGACAGGAAGCCGAGTCTCGGCAAACAAATATATTGGCCCTCGCAACGATGAAGAGCACAGCTATCAACAGAAAGCGATTGTGAGCCTCTTATAGCAACGACGGTTTGTTGCATTCGGCGTAATATTATTCGTTTCACACCCAAGGTTCCTCGATGCGAGTCGTTGAAAGAGAAAACCAGGAGAAAAACAGAATGCAGGCAAAGGAGATGCCCACTGGAGCCAAGCACACCTACCGCTCACAATAGGAAACTTCGCATCACTGTAGGGAGTCATGCCATCAGAGCGGTAAGCTTCCATCTGCCTGTCAATTGAAGCGTTATCGTATTTTCCGGCTGCTTTGTTCGCTTCGGCTTCGACAAAGACGTCAAACCTCCGGTAGTGATTCGAAATAGCAAACGGATAATCATACCTCCACAAGAACCTGCCCACATTCACGACAACACATGGGGGGAAATATAGAATAGTCATAAAAAATGATAAAATAGTAAAATACTATACTGCCGTGCATCCCTTCGAACAGTCCAATTCCGACACACGGATGCCTTCCTGGGACTCGGATGCGCCGCGTGTGTGAGTGTGTGTGTGTGTGTGTGTGTGTGTGTGTGTGTGTGTGTGTGTGTGTG